GTGTTCTAAGTAGGTGCTTTAGACCACTGAGCCATCTCACCAGCCCTGGCTCAGTATTCTTAATTCAGTGCTTTATTATACTTACATAGCTACATATAATGCCTTTTTGCTATGGCTAGCAAAGCTAGACTCACAAGGCTTAAAAGTTAGCCTCTGTCTTGAGATAGGGTTGTCATTTACTTTTGTGTATCAGTAGTGGCTATTTTGTTTGTTTTTACTTTGTTTATTGCAGTTGGTGTTTGTCTTACATCCCTGTGAGCTTATCTCCCAAGTTCAGGAACCTGGAACCATCCAGTTCCACATTTGAAAAAGAGATGAGTAGTATCTGCTCTCATGGTTGTTTTAAAGATTAAATGGGATTTTAACAACTTAGTTTTAAATACATGTCTGAAATGCAGTAAGTAGTCAGGGCATTTCAGCTATTGTTATTAAATTACTTGCATGACATGAACCTGATACATACAAGGTCTAAACCTGTCAGGTTTACCTTTCAGCTGAAAAGTCCCATGATAGGCTGACTGCCGCAGTCTGTCTCACATTGATGATCTTTGTGAAATCCAGAAATTCTCCTGTCATGTCAGTAAATGGGGAAGGCAGGGTTCTTTGTGTCCCTCTAAGCAACATGCTTATGGGGGCAGAGCTAAAAATACACTATTGAAAGGTGTCTTTGGAGGATAAAACACAGTGAGCTCTAAGGCAATGCTTATTATAATACTTGACTTTTCAAAATGCTGTCGTACAATTTTTCTTCTAGTTCTGGGATTACCGACAGCCTCGGAAATACCTCAATATTCTACCTTGTCAGGTGCCTGTGTGGAAGGGCAGATACACGGTGAGTGAGATCCCCTAACAGGAAACTTCCTCTTGGTATTCCAGATGCAGGGATCCAGGGGCATTTTCTCTTATTCTCTTTGTGAAATGATTTTCTGTCTTGGTTTGGCAGATGTGGTCATGGTGGCATAAATGCTGTTAATGACTTAACAATGATACCTTTGAAATGTTGGTTATGAGGGCCGGGGAGATGGCTCAGTGGAATAAGCACTTCCCTGGCAAGCGCAAGAGCCTGAGTTCAATCCCCGGTTCTGCCAAATAAATAAATAAATAATAAATGTTTGAAATGTTGGTTATATTCTACATTAGAGCTGCTGACTACAGCTGGATGGAGAGGGGGACATGAAGGCGTTTACTAGGGGCAGCAGGGAAGGACACGAGAGAGGGTTGAGGGCCTCAAAGCCAAGGAACTGTGGAGGAAAGAAGTCTGGGGCCTGGCTCTACCATTTCATGTTTGTACATCCTTGACAAGCCAACTGATTTGGAGTAGAAATTTCCTCCTCTGTAGAATACAAAGAATACTTTTTACTTTGCCTTTTATTTTTTGGCAGTACAGGGGATTAAACCTGTTTTGTGTTGAGCTATGTCCCCAGCCCTCTTTAAGACAGAGCCTCAATAAATATGTAAATTGCACAGGCTGGCTTGAATTTGTAATCCTTCTGCTTCAGCCTCTCAGAATGCTGGGATTACAGGTGTATACACCTCGTTCCTTTTGTAAAAAATTGTGGCAGTTAAGTGCCTTTTACTACATCCATAATCTATCTTCCTTTTGAAATAAAGTATATGGATATACCTAATAAATCAAAATGCTACAAATACAAGGGTAAGTGATTATCAGCCTGCGAGTCATTTTTCCATGGCCATATTGATAGCTGCTGATCGAAAGTAATGTATTTCCTTTAATGTTGATTTGAAAGCAAGCACAGGGTAAATAAAGCTGCCTTTGCATGAGGCTGTTACTCTGGGCATTGTGTAGTGATGCAGATAATTGGCCGTTAAGTTGTTTTTGTACCTGGGATCACTTGCCAAGAAATCAGACTTCGTTCCTAAGAACTGATATACTTCTCTGGATTAATATGTGTAAAACTAAAAAATCCAGGAATGTTCCCAGAAGAGGACATGAAGGTAAATAAATGTGCTCTTAGGTGACTCTGGCTTATTCTTTAAATAACAGAGGCCAGTTATCAGCCAAATGGGCTCCTTCGCTACGTAGCAGATTGGGAGTTGCTGTGTAGAACATCAGTCCTGAGGTCACTAAGCTCTCCTTGGAGCAGGTAGAGTCCTGGGCCGTGGGAAGGCAATGCTTCAGGGGGTTGCTGTGCTGCTGGCCTTGGCAATGGCAGGCATTATGTTTGCTGCTAGTGGTTTTTAGGCAGCCTCATGCACCCCTTCTTTAGCTAGGATGCATAATGGCTGTCAAAACTGTTTACTTAGTGTAGAATTTTCAGACTTCTCCAAGCATTTGGCTTGGGCTTATTTTCATTTGCTGTGGTCCCTTCCCTAAGTAGAGCGCTAGGGTTACAGGTGTGCGCCACCATGCCTGGCTTTATCATCTAAATTTTAGAAAGAGTTCCAGTTTTGAAAACTGAGACTCAGTTGATTCTCCCAGGATAATCTGTTTTTCCCTTTCTTGCCATAGCCTTTCAGCAATGGGTTAGTGACCGTGATGGTTCCCCAGCTGCGGAGGGAAAACAGCTTGCTCCTGTGGAATGTCTTTGACTTGAACACCCCGGTCCATACCTTTGTAGGGCACGATGACGTGGTGCTGGAGTTCCAGTGGAGGCGACAGAAGGAAGGTAAGTGAGGAGGAAGACTGCTCTCTTTTGTCTGGAGCTGTGATGGCAGCAGCACCAGGCATGTACGCCATGTGAGCCAGGAAGGCAGACCCAGAGCAGGGCTGGGCTGCAGGAACCCGAGAGAGGAAGCGCATCACCTTTAATCACAGGAGAGTAAATGGAGTACATAGCCGCTCCCCACACTTGAACTTATTCTGCTGAGTCATCTCCGCGGCCCCTGAAATGAATAGTTTTTAGCAACCCATTTTTAGTTATCTGTATCCTCTTTAAGTTGTTGGAATGAGTTGTGTAAACTGGAACTATCTAGCTAGTAGTGCAAATTTGATTACAAGCTACAGAGATTAGCCAGGTGTGGTGGTACAAGCCTATAATCCTAGCACTGAAGAAGGCTGGGGCAGGGGGCTCTCCATGAATTCAAGGCCACCCTGGGCTACATAGTGAGACCTTGCCTCAAAAACCAACAAAAGAGATACAGAGTTTATTTTTTGTTATGTTTTTATGATGAAATAGATCAAGCAGGAAATTACATAGAACATACATGGCTTAATAATTATAAAAGTGAGGTCTGTAACTGCAAGGATCTAAGAGGGCGCATGCCAGGAGACGCCGGAAGCTTCTGGCCGCAATCCATTCCTTCGCCGCAGCATTGCCATTGTAAAGCTTTTCATAGCAGCCTTTTTTTTTTTTTTTTTTTTTTTTAAATTTTATGTATTTGGTACAGGGTCTCACTACACAGCTCAGACTCATAGTGATCCTCCTGTTTTCTGCCACTCCAGTGTTGGGATTACAGGTGTGCACCACCACACCCAGACTGGGTCCCCGGCTCAGCGTTTCCAGGGACGGGGCCAGTGCAGCAACCTTTTGTTTTAATAGGTGGTTTCATCACTTTATTAATTTCTAAATGTAGCTTAGGTTTGCCTGGTTTGGAATCTTTTGTGAATTTTATTATCCAATATGTATTCTTACATTTTACTTTCCTTCCAACCTCACGTTGCTCCAGTTTGCTTTCGTTGCTTATCCTGTTAGTGTTTTCTTAGGCCACCTCATGCCTTGGTTTTGATTTTCGCTTTGAGGAAGGCTATTTCAAAGAGGTAGGAAGAGAATCAGGATGTTGTGGCCAAGGGGAAATGGTGCATCATGAAAGAAGTGGTGGTCACTGGCTGCAGGTGTTGCTGAAGGCTGAAAATGCAGAGTAAGACAAAAGCATTGAATGGAACCACAAGGAAGTCAGGGGTCTTTGGGAGGGTGATGTCCCGGAGCTGATGGAGGCTGGAAGCTGGATGCCAGGTTATAAAGTAGGCTAAGCAGAGGCAGCAGGACCGGTTTTGCTGTCTTCAAAGGCAAGGACTAGAGTGAGACATTTGGTGAGGCTGCTTACCTCACTCTTTGAAGGCAGGAGAAGATGCACAGAAAGAAGCTGGGAAAGCAAGGGCCCTTTGGGGAAGAGGAGGAGGAAGAAGAGGGGTGACGGGAGCAGGGAGAAGAGGGAGTTCATGAAGCACTTACAGAACTCTCACAAAGCACCCTGAACCTGTAGAGTAATTTCCTTTTAAGCAGATCTAATGTGCAAAAATATGATTCAGTCAATTAAGATTAAGGGTTGATTATTCATTTTATAAAGAGAGGCATCACTTTGCTGGAAGATTCTTCGCAACAGTAGGATGCCATCGTGCATTTAAAACAATTCATTTTTGCAAACTGTGTATTCATCCCTAGCTCCTCAGCAGCATAAAAAAGGAGAAACATTTGCAGAGGTGAAAGTTCAGTGTGACATTAAATCTCAGCTACACTTTCTACCTGCTAATTTGCCAGTTATTCTTTCACTTCATTTGAGTTTCTGCTCCAGTGGGACTTCCTCAGGGAGTCCTATCTAAAAATAGCTCTCCCATCAGTCTTGTCTTCTTACCCTGTATTATTTTTTATGCCACTTATCACTACCTGGCATTTTATTTTTATTTGTTCATCTTTTTTCATCATTGGAATGTGAGCTGTCTAAAGAGAGAGATAATTCATACCATCATCCTGGTACCTAGAAAAATGCCTGGCTGTTCAATAAATATTTGTTGGAGCTGGGTATGGTGGCACACATCTGTCATCCTAGCACTCGGGTGGCTGAGGCAGGATTGCCACAAGTTCAAGGCTACACTGCCTTAAAAAGAAATGTGTTAGGTTATGTGTATGTTTGAATGAATGAGTGAATGAATGAATCACACTCCATAGGGACCTGTAACAAAATAGGCATTGAATCCTTAAGAATTTTTAGGATGCTTTTGGTGATTTCTAGGGTCCAAGGACTACCAGCTTGTTACATGGTCCCGGGATCAGACCTTGAGAATGTGGCGGGTGGATTTCCAGATGCAGAGGGTAAGTATTCAGTATTATTGGGCACTATAACTAGATATTCTAGAAACTTAACTTTTTTTTTTTTGGCGGAACCAGGGATTGAACTCAGGCCCTTGCACTTGCCAGGGAAGCACTTATTTTACTGAGCCATCTCCCCGGCCCCTAGAAACCTAACTTTAAAATGCAAGATTCACAGTGCCAGTCCTATGGATAACCCACTACTATTATGGACTACTGGACTATATTCGTTATTTTTCTGAATTCACACACCTACAATATTTAAATGACAGTGGAATACCATCTCTGACAAAACTAAACAATAAAGGGGATACAAATGAACCATTTTGTATCTGTATATGCAAAATAGTTAGGATAGATATACAGCTACTTTCTCTTAATTCAATGAGAAGAAAGATTTGTACTAACAGTGTTTGGACAGGATATCGTGTCTGCATCTTATACTATGAATAACCACTACAAAGACAATAATATGCAATGTATTAATTATTGAAACTGTCCTACTAATCAGTTTTTTTGTTGTTGTTGTTTTGTTTTTGTTTATTTTTTGCGGAACCGGGAATTGAACTCAGACCCTTGCGCTTGCCAGGGAAGCGGTTATTCCACTGAGCCATCTCCCTGGCCCCTTACTAATCAGTGTTGAAACTCTCTCATTGCTATTTGTTTCTCAGTAAAATTAATTTTTAAAAAATGAATAAAATGCAAGATTCAGAATTTGTAGAAGTTAGAGAATACATGATAGACATTTAATGTATTCTGACTGATTGGCTGAATGGCTTAGGTATGCCACACTCACTTTGAGGTTTTTAAGAGCCAACTATTCAGCAAGGACCTTGAGGCCAAAGAGCTTCTAAATGCCCTTTTTCCCTGTCCTATTGAAGATAGGATGGGTCCCCTACTGAGCAAAAGGCCTGTGGGCTTCTTCCTTTCTCCTCTTGTACTCTGTAGCTGTTGAGAGCTACCCATGGACAACACTTCCTCTGTGAAGGTGCCTCCAACTTCCTCTCCATACATGATACATACATCACAGCGCAGCTGCTGTGAACTGGCTTTCTGGCCCCTGCTCTGTTCAGTGCTAAATCCCTGACAGTGAGAAGCATATCTGCCTGGCACACTGCCGTGCACAGGAGCGGTGGGAAATGCTGGTGCGACTTGCCACACTGCTTAGTGTCTGGCCCCTCTTGAGCATTTTGGTCAAGTTGTGGTAACTCCACAAAGGTTTGTGAATTCAGTTAATTTTTCCTGCATCTTGCATTAACTCTGTAAGGAAAACTATCCAGGGTAGAATAATAGAGTCTATTACCCTACATATTTAACCAAGAAGAGTTGGTAATGCATGAAATGTTTTGATTGTGTCAGTTCTTTGCTGACACATCTCTATGCTTTTGATACCCATTTTTAAGTCACAACTGGAACCAAACACACTGATTATTCCCATGCACTTCTCTAGCCCCATGTCTTCTATCTTTTGTCTCAGCTCTGTGCCAATGACATACTGGATAGCGATGAGTTCATTGAGAGCATTTCTCTTCTGCCGGAACCAGAGAAAACCCTGCACACCCAAGACACTGATCACCAGCACAACTCAAGCCACGGAGAGGAAGAAGGTACTGTGTCAGACTGGTCTGAGGAGAGCACTCACTGTGCATTTCATAGATAGGCAGCAGATACCCCAGAAGGGACTCATTTTTCAAATTGTTCTCCAACATTGAGTGTTTCTCCTCTTAGCCTTAAAGGAAGATCACCCTAGCAGCCTCCTGGAGGAGAAGAAGTCAGATCAGCTGGGCCTTCCCCAGACTCTGCAGCAGGAGTTCTCTCTAATCAACGTGCAGATCCGCAATGTCAATGTAGAGGTAAGTCCTAGCTTAGAGAGCCTGCCTCATGCTTGTCATGCAGTTTGTGGGAGAGTGGGTTATTTCAGCTAGCCTTGTGACTCTTAATAGATGAGTCTCCCTTCTTGCTGTCTTAATTCCTAGATTAAAAAAAAAGAGAGATGTCTGTTTCCCAAATGCAGACCTCCAATGCTTATAGTGGTGGGATTTGAACCCAAAACTTTATGCATGCTAGGTAAGCATCTACCCCTGAGCTATAACCTAGTCCCAGACTTTTTGTTTGAGCTTACTGGGTTCTCCTAGGAAGAACTGAAGCCTGTGCCCTCCTTAGATGGTCCAGTACCTCATTTTGCTACATGTGACAGCATTTGCTCCAGAAAGTCCTCATTATTGGAAGTTAGTGTGGAGCTGACTTTAGAAGCCAACTCTCCCGACTCCCCAGGCTATCTGCACTGTGCTTGCTGTTGTCTGTTACCTGCTGCTTATTTCTGTGCCAATTTAGTCCACAGTCCTCTTCATTTACTTAGCTTGGAACCATGTATTTTACTTTTGAGCAAGTATTGAAACTCTTTGCTTCAGAAAGTAGCTTTTCTGTCCAGGAAGTAGTTTAAACACTTGGTTAGTTTTTCTTTCCTTCGTGTGTGTGTGTGTGTGTGTGTGTGTGTGTGTGTATTTGGTACAGGGTCTCACTATGCAGCTTGGGCTCAGTAGTGATCATCCTGTTTTCAGCCTCCCCAGTGTTGAGATTACAGGTGTGCGCCACCATGTCTCAGTGGCTGGCCCAGCGCACCTAGGGGCGAGGTGTGGTGTGGCATGTGGTGCCAGGAGTTGAATCCTGGTCCCTGCACTTGACTAAGCAGGCACTTAGTCTGCTGAGTTAATCTCACTGGCCCTGTTTTTCTTTTGCCCAGATTCAGTTAACTGTAGGCAGAAATATGTGTCATTACGTGACTGTCCCAGTTCTCTAAGCTGGGTGTGGTGGTGTACACCTGTAATGCTGGCACTCTGGGAACTGGAGGCAGGACTGAGGCAAGTTTAAGGCCAGCTTGAGCTACATAAGAGTTCAAGCCCAGCCTAAACTACCTATTGAAACCCTGCCTCAAAAAAGACAAAAAAAAAAAAGACAAAAAACAGGGCTGGGGAGATAGCTCAGTAGAATAAGTGCCTACCTGGCAAGTGCAGGGTCCTGAGTTCAAACCCTGGTAAAAAAAAAAAAAAAAAAGACAAAAACAGCAACAAATAAAGCTGGGTATGGTGGCATAAGCCTGTAATCCCAGCCCTTGGAAGGCTGAAGCAAAAGTTTTGTTGCCAGTTCAAGCCAGGCTGGGCTACATAGTGAGTTTAAGGCCAGCTTGATCTACATAGTGAGCCCTTGTACCCTCAAAAACAAAAAACAATTCTCTAAAAGTGTTTCACCTCACATTATGGATGAACAAACTGAGATTCCAGAGATGAAATGACTTGTCCAAGATCAGCAGCTATTTGGTGAAAGAGGATAATGTTTCAATCCAAACCTCTGGCTTTCTGGCATGTTTACTCTTTTCATTGTCCTCCAGCTGTCGTTGTGGTTGGCCGCACCAGAAACCAGCAGATGAATTTGTTATCTGTATTAGCTCAGCTGACGTTCCCTTTGGCCTAGTTGAGAACCATGTGGCTACCTAATGATACCGTTTGAGAGCTTGATTCCTTTCCTCAGAAGTCCCTCTTAAAAACTATTAAGACATAACTCACATACCGCAGAATTCACCCTTTTAGACTATGCAGTTACTGGTTCTTAGTCACAAAACTGCAACCATCACCACTATGTAATTCCAGAACATTTCATTGTCCTAAAAAATCTTACCCATTAGTGGTCACTCTCTATTTGCCCTCTGCCCAGCTTCAGGCAGCCACAAATCTACTTTTTATCTCTGGATTTTCCCAGGAGTGCTTTTTAAATTGAGTCAGGTTATTTCTTTTTTTCTTTCTTTCTTTCTTTTTTTTTTGAGTCAGATTATTTCTTTTAGAGTCTGCCTATTATATTTTCTCATCTTAAAATAAATAAGACAAGTTTTAGCTAACTTCACAGCTTTGAGATAAAGCTCTGCTCCTGCCCCTGCCCCTGCTCTGCTGTTCTCTTCTAGTACCAGAAATCAAACTCAGAGCCTCCTGCTTGCCAGGCAGGTGCTGTGCCATTGAGCTACTTCCCTGGACTCCAGAGCTTTCTTTTTAAAGTCATAATATTTTGAGTTTATTTTATTTTATTTATTTTTGCAAAACCAGCGATTGAACTCAGGCACTTGAGCTTGCCAGGGAAGCGCTTATTCTACTGAGCCATCTCCTGGCCCCCTAGTTTATTAAATTTGTACTAAAATTTAAACATCTGGTTGTTTTTTTTTTTTTGGTTTTTTTTTTTTGGTTTTTTTTTTTAACAGTCATTCAGTTTTATTTGGCAAGAGAATAAAGGGTTGACTGCTGTGTGTTACTTTTTTCCTATATTGGAAAAGTATCACATGAAACAAATCCTGTTAATAGTCTAATGTGCATTTCCCCCTTTTCTTTAATAAAGGAGTTCAGTTCTGTCCAGTGTAGCAGTGTTCCCAGCTAAAAGCAAATGTTCTCAAAGTGTTTTTAAAGTGTAGTGTACCCACACGACATGATCCGGGAAGAGTGAGAAAGTTCATTAAAACTTTCTGGTTGGGGCCGGGGAGATGACTCAGTGGAATAAGCGTTTCCCTGGCAGGCGCAAGGGCCTGAGTTCAAGCCCTGGTTCCACAAAAAAAAACAAGAACCCTTTCTGGCTGCCTTTTGTCTTCTCAGTACAGGCAGGATGGGCCCTCCATCTTATGCCTTTTTCTTTTCCTGTCCTGGACCGCGCTTCTGAGAAGAGATACGAAGCAGCTGTCTCATGACCGTGAGGTGCTAACATTATGGACAGAAGAAGGCTAAGAAAGACAAAGTGGAAAAATAGAAGGAGTTTAGGACACTGAGGAGACACTGCACTTTGTGACACAAAGAAAATAAAATCCTATTAAATAAGCTCCTATAGTTAGGGTTCTTTTATAGATAAATAAACATAAGCCCTGATATTGTGTAAATGCAAGCGTTTTTACCCTACTTCATTCATTCGACCTTTCATCATAACACTTCCCCATATCAGTAAATATTTCTTTTTTTTTTAAGTCTTCCAGCTTTTATTTTATTTTTTTTCATAATTTTATTGATAGACAAATAGCAATGAGACAGTTTCAAATCATATCACTAGGACAGTTTCTATAATTAACACACTGCATACATTCTTCTTAGTGGTTAATTGCTGTACAAGATGCGGACTTAAGATCCTATTTACAAACACCATTAGAACAAATC